ATTGAATTCATGTCCTCTTTCTATAATATAAACTAGATTTTCAACTTTGGGTAAATCATTTAACCTCTTTGTATACCAGGCATGTCTCAAAAACAAAAACAAAAAAGTTGCAAACTATCTTCCGATCTACATCAGTATGGGGAGTTTATAGAATAGTTATCTCCTAAATGAAAGAAAGAAAGAAAGAGAGAGAGAGAGAGAGAGAGAGAGAGAGAGAGAGAGAGACAGAGACAGAGAGACAGAGACAGAGAGAGAAAGAGAGAGAGACAGAGACAGAGAGAGAGAGAGAGAGAGAGAGAGAGAGAGAGAGAGGGAAAGAGAGAGAAAGAAAGAAACAAAGAAAGAAACAAAGAAAGAAAAAGAGAGAGAGAAAGGCTTACTGACTTATATGGAGCTTATGATCCACTAAAATACTATAGCTACTTTTCAGAAGAACTGTTCTCTAGCCACAACTCCTTCTTTTATTTGTGCAGTTGACTTCTTCAAATCAAATATAGAACTTTATATTCAATAATAAATGGCATCTGCTTTTCCCCCACATGAACTTGAGAGTTCTCAAAAATACTAACGTGGTGAAAAGCCAAAATTCTTGTCACCTCAGGGTCTTTTTGCCATAAATAAAAGCATGTTTGATTATCTGGATGCTAATGAACAAAATAGATAATTTCACCCGAGAGAGAGGAAGAGAAAATTATTAAGGTCTTGGAATCACATGGAATTTAAAAAAAAAATAAACTATATTCATTTCTCAGAATTTATTTTTATAATTGGGAATTAATGTTTTCTAAGTAACTGTAATGATCCAAAGTATACACACACACATACACACACACATTCTTTTTAATAGGATGGGGTTGAGATTACCTGGGATAGAGTCAAGATGACAGAGTAGATAGTCTCTACCCCTAATGGAAAAGGCAGCGCACATTTCCTCAATCTCTCTTACAGAACCAAGATTAGTCATTATAATTGCACAGTTTTTATCTTTGTTTTTTTTTTCAAAATAAATTTTATGATTGTAATCCTTGTGAATACTGTTTTCACATTCTGATTTTCAGTTCCTTCATTTTGAGGAAGGTCACAGGCCAGCCATCCTATCTTCCTTTCCCTGCTTTGCTTCTGGCTCTCCTTACTTCATTACCATTCCTCAGAAGCCTGTTTACATTGCACAACTCCTCATCATCCCTCAACTTGCATCCCAACTTCCTTCTCTTATTGGTCAGCTTTTCCTTTAATCTCCATTGGTGGAAAGACCTGCACTATTCATCCTTCATTCCTTTGTTCTGATTCTGATCTAGATAGTGTGTTGTCTTCCTTTATCAGAATATAAGCTCCTTGAGGGCAGGGAATGTATTTTTTTCCTAAAGAGGGAGCCTAATATTGGTATCTCATATCCAGTCCAGTGTCTGGCATGTAGTAAGTACTTAATAAATGTTTGTTTACTTGACTTCATAACTTAAATTTGTATCATTTCATGAAAATCTGTTTCTCCAAATTCTTCATCTTCATCATTTTTTTTTTCTTGTTAGAATTTTTACCTGTCCTTTAGATCTCTAAAATTGTGAGAATTTTCATACTTTCCAAATTCTAAACTGTCAGATCTATGGGGTGAATATAATTATTTCTCTGTTTTCAGAGCAAGTTAGTTTCAAATCAGAAGGGTCCTTCTCTGTTCACAATGAACTAAATTTCCTCAGGCCATAAAGAAGTGATTACTTGATCTTTTTTGGATTGACTTTCTTGAGATTGATTATTTTGACTGGAGTTAAGTGGAGGAAGGGCAGATCATTTTGCTTCTCTCCACCCTTAATTTTAAATACTTATAAGGTAAGAAATAGTTTAGTATGATTATGGTGCCCATAATGGATATATAGAAAGCTAAACATTTATCTCTATTATTTTTGAAATAACTTCTGGCTAGAGATTGGATGGTCCCCAGACTCCCTGGGATTTGTAGTTTTTCCAAGTTTGGAAAGAGAGGAAATAGATGCAAGATCAACCTTTGGAAGCGGAGAGGAAGACTTTCATCTTCAGTGAGTAGGAATTCGGGGGGAGTTTCAGGGAGAATGAGGACAGAAGAAAAGATAGGTGACAGTGGTCTCATGGCAGCAGGTGGTGTCTGCACCTCTGAAGTCCTTTTCCTTAAGCCCATGAAAGATGACCTCAGTCTAAATGGACAAGCTGGAAGCTATGTGTGTGGTTTGTTGTGAGGTAATTCATTTAAGAGAAACACACCAGGGGCAGCTAGGTGGCACAGTGTATAAAGCACTGGCCCTGAAGTCAGCAGGACCTGAGTTTAAATCTGACCTTAGACCAAACATTTGACACTTACTAGCTGTGTGACCCTGGGCAAGTCACTTAACCCCAATTGCCTTTAAAAAAAAGAAACATACAGCTGAGAAGAATTGGCCAGCCATATCTTTCCCCAGTCTTACTTTTGCTTGTGCATTTCTTAAATTTATTTTGCTAAAAACACATTTGCTAGTCTTTATTTCTCATCAAGGCTGTGGTCATCTCTGTCCTTCTGTTACTGAGTGTCTTTTTCTTTGGAGCATAAGGGCAAAGCGTGAGCCAAAGAGGAAAGAAGGATCTTTCCTAATACATGGCTGGGAGCTAAACCCCCAGCACATTGTTTGAAAGTTGTGCCCCTAACTGGGGTATAAGCGAAGCAATTTCGTAAATTTGTTAGCTATCCATTTCAGCTTTGTAACATCTCTAAACTTGCTATGCACTCTATTTTTGTTGAGCTGAAAATCATCTATAATAAATTTACTAAAATAAGGAAGATCCCAAGGGCATGTCAACTTCCCTCTAAGCAGATATGGATCTGTTAATGAAAAATAAGTGAGTCCAGTCATTCAGCCATTCCCTAAGCCACCCTAACTTCCCTATCACGTAGCTATCCCTATCATGTTTCTCCAACTTCTGTACAAGAATGACTGAGTTGCAGCCAAGCTCAGAGAGAGGAGAGGAACAGTTTTGTCCCCTCCCCTTTCCCTTAAGGCTCTATGTCAAGGGCTGATGTGGAACTCTATTGAGATTTCTGCCAGTTTAAAATGATTAGAGCTGGCAATGCACCCAGTTGTCTGAGGCTGGGGAATGTCTAATCAGTTTGGCATATATGACATTGTTCAACATTCCACCTGGTAAAAGTGTACTGAGTTTTATGGCATTGTACCTGGGAGGAAATAAGCATCTTCTGGGTGACTAGCCTTGGAAACTGAAGACCTCTGTGATAATGAGTGTCAGAAGCATCACTATTTATGGGGTAAAGCCCAGATCTATTAGCCTAAATGCAAGTCCTCTGCAGGCTGCCTTTAAATCACCATCTGAACTTATCTCTGATTATTCCTCAACACAGATTACTTGCTTTAGGCTATAGGGTGGCCTTTTAACATTCTCCTATCTAGGATCATTTTTGTGTTGATACTTTTTGTCCTTCGTGAAGGGTTTCCCTTTCTACACTCTCAATAGAATAACTCTACGTAGTCTAATTATAGTCATCTTTTAAAGGAGTCATCAGGAAGACATGAGTTTGAATTTAGCTTCAGACACTTACTATGTGACCCTGGGCAAGTCACTTAATCCCTGTCTGCCTCAGTTTTTTTTTAACTGTAAAATGGGGATCATAATAGTTTCTACTTCACAGGGTTGTTGTGAAGATCAAGTGAGATAATATTTGTAAAGTACTCAGAACAGGGCCTGGTACATGGGAGGTGGTTAATAATTCCATTCAAGTCTCCTCTTAGGTCCTTTCTTTACCATGCAATTTTTTTTCCTGAACTGGCCATCAGAGCAATAAATTCATTCTTTTTTAAATATCTGGGACAAGGTCCAGAACAACTGGAGTAAAGCCAGAGCACTGGAACCATGGATAAAGACCTGCAAACAACTTTAGACAACTGCTGGAGAAGCCATGCCAGTGGAGATTGGGATGGGAATTAGGTCACGATAGGACAGAGCCCACCTAGAGTTTATTTAACATCTGGTATCTCTCTACTTTAGATAATTATTACCAATCACATACAGATCTTGTTTATGCAATTGTGAGTGCTGTGAGCATCATCTAAATTAAGCATCTTGGGACAAAACCTGAGTTGCACCAACCTAGTTACCTCTTATTGACCTTCTTGACCTACAGTGATCTCTCTCTTCTTCCAGCTCCATAATGTAGTGTTTAGAGTATCCATTTGGTATTTGTTTATACTCTATGCCATGTCCTTATTTTAGCTTCTAGAATTTGTGAACTTTGTCTCCTTAACTTGCAACTCTATGTCCATTGCACGGTACAAACATAATGCTATTATTTGGTTATATGAAGATATTCACTTGGCTTCTACTTTTTAGCAGTGTGGAGAACTGTAGATTAAGATGCTAACCTGAGAACTGAAGGGAATTTCAGAACTCACTTCGTCCAACCCTGTCATTATTCAGATGAGGAAAATGAAGTTCTGGAAGGGAAGAGAGCTAAAATTTGATCCCAGAATTTCTAGGAAACACTAAAAGTCGTTGGGATTTATTTTTCTGTAATATATCAAATTGACTTTTTTATCTTTACCTAATGTTTACATTTAGATTCGATCTTCTTTTACTAGTTGTTATTTTCCATATATTTCCCAGTAATAGTGTTTGACATTTGTTTTAGTGCTTTAAGGTTTGCAAAAAGCTTTACATCCATTACCTCCATTCATCCTGATAGCAGTCTCATGATGTCATAAATATTATCATCCCTATTTTACAGATGAAGAAACAGAAGTATAGAAAATATTTTATGACTTGGCCAAGATGACATGACTAGTAAGTATCAGGGATGGAATTTGGACTTAGGTCTCACTCATGAGTTCATGTTTAGTGTTCCTTCCTCTGCATGCAATTTCTGTGTGTTCCATTGACTACTCCTTGGTTCTGTTTGGAATTTCAAGTTCAGAACGTGCATACTATGACCAAAAAGCTGTGCTAGGATACTGGGGGTAAGCTCCTTATGTTCTAATGATGGGGAAGGTAGCAGATGTAAACAGATAAATATGGTGAATAAGTAGAATTTGGTAATCGCAAAAGGATATTGAATTTACCTCAACTTGCAAATAAACATTGCGATGAGAATTTTTGGTAAGATTTTGCCATTCTGGGAACATTGAATGGTGGGGCTATGATTCCAGATTGAAAATATTATCAACAGTATCAGTGATGTTTACAGGTTATATTTGCTATGATTATTTTTCACAGCTGACACAACGTAAAAATTATTTATGTTTTTGTTACATTAGTTTTATAATGTAATAAACATAATTAATAAGCTTGATGTTTAAACATAGGATATTAAAGGGAAAATATATGTGTATTTATATATGTTTGTATATATATGTATATACTTATGCATACATACATAGTGAATGAATAATCTATGTATGTTTGGAGAGAGGAAGAGAAAGAAAGATACATAGGGAGTGAGGAGTGTATGAAGAAAGTTTAATAAACAAAAAAAAACTGAGGGTGAGTCTCAGAGCTAATTCATGAATTAACGAAAGATATTGCAAGCATAATAATAATTGACAGCCCTAAGAACAGATTCTGATTGCCTTAGTACCTGACATGAAAATGAATAAGCTGTAACAGAGAGCTATAAAGTTTATTGTTGTTGTTGACTAACATGGGCCCCACATAATGCATCCCCATAAACTACATATTAGTGTTAACATTAGCCATATCCTCTAAAAATCTAACATGCATACTAATGTATGCGTATATATAATGTATGTACATCTGCATGTATGTATATACACTAGTTGCTGCGGACAAAAAAGACAAAATGAAAATGAGTCCATAGCACCAAAGAGGTTCCATTTTACTGACTACATCTAGATAGAGCATATCTTTCTGTTTATTTCTAGTTTCACATATTTTTTACATTATTTGCTTGATTGTTATCTGAGAGATTTATGTCATTGTCACTGAAAGAACATTATTTTTCATTTCAACCTTTATCTCTTTCACCCATTGTCTTGACTTCCCGATAAAAGTGTCTTATATGTATTACAATCAATAGAAGTATTGCCTTTAAAGGATATAATCTGGTAGAATATTGAATTAATTCTGAAATAACATCTTTTTCATCTGCTGTTCTTGTTTCATATTTAATGAATACCTACTCTATGTTAGGCTTAATATAAACATTGAGTTTCTAATTTCCTCACTATTTGCCCTTCTTTATGGGGACAATCATTTAAATATTTTTGAAAGACCACGGGGAAACTATGCAAGATGGAAAACAGCATGTTTAAGCAAAAAATGTTCAGGCTCTACTGCTCTTATCCTCAGTAGGAAGCAAAAAGAGGAACATTGATTTCTTTCAGGAAAACATATACCTGTCTAGAAAGCTGTTCAAATAGATAGGATGCTACAAATGAGCAAATAATACATTTGGGAACATGGTATGTTAACTCTCCAGTTTTTCAGGAGCACAAGTACTATGAATAATATAGAGGATGACAATAAACAGGTTTCTATGTACTGTGTTTTTATCTTGTTTCTGATGGATCTGATGGATTGATATTTTATTCTTGACACTAATATAATTCTTATTTCCTATAATATTATATATATATATATATGTATATATACATATATATACATACATACACACACACACACACACACACATATATATATATATATATATATATATATATATATATATATATATATATACATATATATTTCTCTTAATTCAGCTTTTATACCATGTTATCCTCATTTCCTGCATGGTCTTTATTATTCCTTCATTATTGGGAAATATCTTATTTCCTGAAGTATAAAACTTTAGAAACTATTAGTATAACATTAATTTATCCCTTATGTGCTTTATATAGAGCAAACAATAAAATCGCTTTCACTCATGTGTTCATACATATATACATGTATACATGAATACACAGACACACACACACATATAATTGTTATCATTCTCTTGCATATTATTGATCAGTGAGGCAGTTGGACTGGACTATCTCTGAGGACTCAGCTAGTTGTGAAATTCTATTAATTCTTTAAACTCTGAAGCCCCAATAAAAGTTCTACTTCATTAAATGTTCACTGTATAGAGGAGACCCTGAATTCTTGAAGGTTATGCAGCAGGTATAAATAATATTCCCTGGCAGAGACTACCAAGCTATAAACACTTCAAGTATGGTATTGGTGACAAGCTGTGTCTGCTGTCTCAGGACTAGCCTAGAGAAGTTAGAGAGGCTTATCATTAGTACTTGCCTGGCTAGAAAATGACTCTTTGGCCTTGAAAATATTTATAAAAATAAAATATAAATTGGCACTCTGTCTGGAAGGGCAACCTTGTGTTTCCATACTGACAGTGACAGACTGTGAGAAGGGGGGTGGTGAGAAGGGTCCTCTGTAAGACATATTCTTGGCGGGGCAGCTAGGTAGTGCAGTGCATAAAGCTCTGGTTTTGGAGTCAGGAGGATCTGAGTTCAAATTTGGCCTCAGACACTTGACACTAGCTGTGTGACCCTGGGCAAGTCACTTAACCCAAATTGCCTCACCAAAAAGCAAAAAAAAAATTCTTGGACCATCTCTAAACATTGATTTAAGTATTGTTCTCATCACCTGAGATCTTTGTTCAAGGACAAATACATAGTTAGGAAGCAGTTGGCAGAGTGTTGAGGGCCAGGCTGAGAAGTCTAATGTGGGATAAGGAATTTAGGCCATAGCTTGACTCTTTCCTTCTCCTACCCTTAAGGGCTCACTTACTCAGAGTGTTTGAGTAACATTCTGTGCCCAGGAGGTGTTAGAACACTCTGACCAATCATTGAACCTTGATAACAAGCAGGTGTATATAATTAAAGTAGCACATTAGGGCTGGGGTTAGTCATGTAAGACTCATGGGAAAGCCTTGGGGGTGATTGTTAGCCTTTACTATTTAAACTGATCCCTAAGATTAATAAACAGCTCAGTCTTCACTGAAACGCCTGGCCCACGTCTCTTCATTTCACGCTCTCCCATGAAGTGCCTCACTTAGTTGCAGGGGACAGCAGAGAAAGTGAAAGCATTCAGGGGCAGCTAGGTGGCACAGTGGATAGAGCACTGGCCCTGAAGTCAGGAGGACATGAGTTCAAATCTGGCCTCAGACCAAACACTTGACACTTACTAGCTGTGTGACCCTGGGCAGGCAAGTCACTTAACTCTAATTGCCTAGAAAAAAAAAAAGTGTGAGCTTTTGATATCAGAGGATCTAGGTTTGAATTTCCAGCTCTTCTACCTTTTACATTTGTATAAAATGGGCATGCCAGTTAACTTCTCCAGGCCTTATCTGCAAAATTATCTCAATCAACTAGAAATTCCTGGAAGCCCTTCACCACGAACCTATTAGAGGAGCTGAAACATATGGAGAGGGACAATTTTAGTCACAATGAAATCAGAAGACAAAATGGAGTCAAAGTAAAATGGATGTATATCTTGAGGGATCTGTTGTGAAGGAAAGGTGACAAAAACAGTTGGCTACACCCTATTCCCAGAGGAAACAAGAAAAACAATTTTATGAGACACTTGGTCATTTTGCTTTGCGGTATCACTATAAAGTAATAGGAAAATTGGCCAAGATAATTGCAGTCTGTGGCAGCAAATAAAATAGAGAAGATCTATAATTTGGCAAGCTCCTCCTAAACAAGTCAACAGTTGCCTTGATAGGTTGTGAGCAAACACACTCAGGTAGAGACAGTGATCGACAGAGTCAAAGACTGCAGAGAGGTCAAGAAAAGTGAGAACTGATAAACAGCCATTATATTTGGCCGACTTTTATGAAAGAAAGGGACAGACCTCCCAAGTGCTGTATTGATGCCCTGGAAATATTAAAGAACCCAGAGGACAGTCTCCAGCACTTTGGGTACATAATTTCTTCACAATATATAGGGTGATAAGGAAAAGAATTGTACAAGATCAGAAGGCACAGACAGATTGGAGTAGTTACCAGTGGAAAGAATACCTTCATTGATAAAATCATGAATCCATTGAAATATATACTCCTTCCTATGTAGAAATATGGCTGCAGTACTTTGTTTTGGGCCTCCCCCAAAGGCAGGAGTGGACTTCATTTTATTTATTTATTTATTTATTTTTGATAGAAGGGATGCTGCTCTGGTGCTGAAAGCCATCACTATCATGAAATACCTTCTAAAATTCTTTTTTTTTCTTTTACAAAGAATATTATAAGATGGCTAACCCATTATGTTTCTATTTCGTGCTGGGATTATTGAAAGGAGAAACAGACCATCCATGGGTGGATTTGAGACAGTATAGTAGTGTCCTAGAAATAGCATTAGGTGAGAAGCCCAGAGATCTGAGTTTTGATTCTCAATCTGCTACTTTTTAGCAGAATAACCTTGGGTGAGTCACTTACCTCTTAAAGGTTCAGTTTCCTCACCTGTAAAATGTGTCTAATAATAGCTGTCCCGTTGTGAGGAAAATATAATACAGATGATTAAGATGAGATAAAAATGTAAAATATTGCTCTTTTCATGAATTTCTGTGACTTGAGAATTACCTAAAAGTTGTTTATACCTTTGGGGATTTCCATAGATGCAGAAGGGCCTAAGCTTTTATTTGACCACATCAAGACTCATTCGTCTTTAAAAGCTTCACAGAAAAGCATCAGATCCAGAACTTTCATAGTCTATTGGCTGTAGACAATAATTCTTTCCCCAGGAAAGTCATATAGAAGAAGGGAATGTATGTGTGCTGTCTGTGTGTATGTGTGTGGGGAGATAGAGAAGGACACAAACACAGACACAGACACAGATCACACACACACACACACACACACACGCACGCGTGCACTCATGCATGCACACACAAAGACCAGACAGACTGATAGGAAGAAAAAGGACAATTTCCTTTGAGATTTCTGAAGATTGTAATTTCTTTCTTTGATCAGCTGTAAGTTAAAATACATTTTAATGCCTCAAGTAAAGAGAGAAATGCATAACCTTCAAGCACATATATTTATGCCATATACATATGTGTATACATAAACATTTGCTGTTTGGAATGTTTTGTACTGTCATTTGGATGGTGTACTGTCATTTGAGATGGAATTGAGTCACACTCTTCCTTGATCTGGAAGTGAGGCAAAAGTAGGGTGAGTTTCTCAGAATGTAGTGATCTTACTCAATTAATGAAACTCTGAAATTTGAGCTCAGTAAGGGCACTGAATAAAATGTGAGCCTTTTGGTGTGAGCATCATGGACAGTAACTCCACAGCTCTCCTTAATTCTGTACTAATCCAAGTACAGAAGATATTTTAAAAATGTTAGACAATTTATTAAATACAAAGATTATTTACATGGGGATATTTATCTTATGATTTTGGATGTGGTATGATGCAATGTACTTAATACCTATGATTTTAACAGGGTGTGGATTCTTTGCAGTGACTCAGAATTTAGTCTTTCCATACACCAGTATCTGTTCTTTGGGAGCTATAGTGACCACCACCTCCCATGGGAAAAAAGTCATCTTGGAATTTTGCAAATAACTAGACCATGTTATTGCTAAGGGTCCATCACTCAGTTAATGCTTGGAGCTTTTCCAATTTAGCAAGACCTATCAATTCTATTGCTTCTATGCAGCCTTTAAGAACCCAGAGTCACCTCCAAACCATATTGTGATACCAGAGGAAGATTTTAAAGGATGATTGAACCTATTTGATATGTAAGGAAATTCTTGGATAGGAAAATAAGACTGATAGACTTGAGAACTCTGATCAATACAGAGACTAATTCATGTCAGAAGACTAATGATAAAGCATACCTCCTACCTGGTGGGAGAAAGATGGTGGGTTTTAAGTGTAAGACTTGGTATACAGTGTTAGGCGTGACTAATATATTGATGTGTGCATGTTGAAATGTTTTTCTTTGTTACAAGACAGAGTTCTGTTGTATAATGCTAGAGTTGGAGTCAGAAAGTTTTGAATTCAAATCTTGCCACAGACCTTATTGGCTTTGGAGCTCTGGATGAGTCATTTATCCTCACTCAGCTTCAATTACCTGATCTGTTACATGGGAATAATAATTGAAGAGGATTATGAGTATCAAATTAGGATATGCATATATATTAATATATTTCTATCTATATAGAGATCCATATATATATATATATATGCAAATTTTAAAGAACTACATAAATATTAGTTATCATTATTATTATTTATTATTGTTGCCTGGTTCATAATAAAGGCTTTGAAATTGATTCATTCATTAGAATGGTTGAAAGGAGTCATGTGGAAGTTCTAAGGATTAAAAAAATTCAATAAAACATTAAGCAAAAGAAAGCAAATTTTTATTGAGAATGTTGTTAACTTTATTATAAAGGAATCCATGGGTAAGAATGGATTTCATGATTGGAAAGGAAACAGACATTCATTTCTGGGACATACAAGGCAACCATGCCATGTAAACTGGAGATGGGAAGCCTCAATGACTGAATTCCTGCTAAAGACAGATGATGATTCTATATGTGAAGCCTGTCTTGTATACTCTGTGGCTCTGTGTCATATCTGACATGTCACATTATTTTATCCTGTCACATTGGGATATACTGTGAGGCAGCTCAAGCAGCATAAGAGATTGTGACAGAAAACATTTAGGCAAAAATCTATTCACTTATTTATTTCAGATACTCACTTTCACTTTGAATCAACATATCAAATTCTGAATAGGAATGACATATTGGGGTGGATGGTCATAGCCATTGTTCTCAGGCTAGCCTCTACTTGGCATATATCTGATTTGTGCTCCTGCTCTTTTTTTCTGCTAGAATTAACCTTTCATACAGGCATGCATACACGTTACTTTCAATATGCATTTTCTTTCTATAAATCAATGTTAGTTTGATACAACAAAGCAGGCTTTTGAATTCAGATTGAAAACAATATAATATATTTGAATTCATGAAATTCTCGTTTCCTGATATCATACTTGTGTGGCATTAACTTGTAACTGACTAACTTCCCAAAACTGACACCAAGAAAATTAGGGTGCCTTGAAACATTGTATTTTTCAAACTGTCAGAGTATAATATTAGAGACATGTACTTTATAGAGGGTAGGAGTAGCTTAGGTGATACTTTGTGAAAAGGACATCAGTTTTAAGTGGAGTATATTAACAAAGTTCCATTCTTCTGTATTCAGAGAAAAAAAATGTTTTAGGAAATGTCTTTTCTCATTCCGCATTCTGAAACGTAGCCAGTGTGGTGTAGAGGAAACCTTGCCGGCCTGGGTGGTTGGAGACCCAGGGTGAAATCCTAATTATATAAAAAACTACTTATCTGACTTTGTGCTACTCAGATAATCTTTGGTGCCTCAGTTTATACATTACAAAAAGAAGGGCTTGCACTAAGTTATTTCTAATGTCCCTATCAGCTCTAAATCAATGATCCTATGAGTAGATGAACTCTGGGATCTTTTTAAATCTATGGTAATATATATATGAGTGTGTGTGTGTGTGTGTGTGTGTGTGTGTGTGTATACACAAAACAGAAATGCATGCAGTAGTAAATTTTGTGGATCAAAATAACATTTCTCCATTGTTATAGGCCTGTTTTTTTAATCTTAACCTTAAATTATTTCTTTCAAAGCTCAGCTCAAGTACTCCCTTATTCATGAAGCTTTTCCTGATGCCCAAGTGGCTAATTAATCCCCTCCCTCCAATTATCTTGTATTTATTTTGTATATATTTGGTACGAAAGACAGTGTAGTATAGTGGATGGGGAGCTGGCCTCACAATCAGGAAGACCTGAGGTGATGTCTCGTTCTGCTACATGGTAGCTGTCCAAGCATACCTTGGACAAATCACTTAACCTCCTAGTCCTCTAGCAGCTAAAATTATAACTTGCAGAAAAATTGTTAAACATTAATAGTAGAAGAAGCTGCTTACTAGGCATTAGCTATATGAGTTAGATTATAAGCCCTTCGTCTTCTCCCACCCCCCTGCATTCATATCTAGACACAAATACATATGCTTATATATTCTACGTGTAATAGTTGTCTTACCTGTTCAGCACTTCAGTCTTTCAGGATTCCCATTTGTGTTTTAATGGCATGGTTGCCTTGTATATCCCAGAAATGAATATCTGTTTCCTTTCCTGTCATGGAATTCATTGTTGCCCATGGATTCTTTTATAACTAAGTTAACAACATTCTCACTAAAAATTTGCTTTCTTTTGATTAGTATTTTATTGATATATTTTTAATCTTCATAACTTCCTCGTGACTTCCTTCAACCATTGTAATGAATGAATCATTTTAAAAGAATTTACAGGGCACTATATGTAAATGTAAAAGTTTCCTGAGGGCAGGAAATGTTTCATTTTTGTCTTTTTCACCTTTAGTGATTTACCTATCGCCTGGCACATAGTTGGAACTTAGTAAGTGAATGGATTAATAGATTTATATTCTCAAAATAGGAAATTATTCTAGAAGTATTGAAATGGAAATACTGAAATAGCTCTCCCCTCAAGGAAGGACAGTTCGGGGAAGAACTCTACTGACTTTATCATGCATCCTTGTGCATACACCTCCATTCTGACACATAAATCTCTGCTAACCCACTTCAGGGTGTCTCTGGAACAGAAAACGACAAGTGAATGAAATTGAATCATAGTACTAAAATGTGCATAGAGGAAAGACATCCTTGCCTCATTTTCAATTGTGACTGAAGGTAGGATGTGAACTATGAGGGGTGTGCTAATATCTAAGCTTCCATTCTTCTGCTTCCCTGGTATAGTACAATTGATTGTCTAAAATGTAAACTGTAAAATTAAAGGAGAAACCAATAAGTAAGAGATCAGATAGACTTCATTTTGAGCAAAACTTGGAGAGAGAGATTGACCTCTATGATCTATAAGAATTTGCTATTGTGAAGATTTATTGAGGAACGTTAATACTCCATGTTCTATCTGTTATGAAAGTGACCTCCTTTGAAGACCTGAGGTTTGACTCATGTGAACCCTCTGACCTGTGCTTTTATAGGATCAGAACAAAAATATTATCTGCTAGACTTTCACTGTGAAGAAGATGAGAATGAATGGGACCTCTTCCTGGGACAGATGACAGATTGTCAATGATGTTCTTTGGATTATTGGCCAAGTTTTGGCAGCCCAGGGATCTACTGGAGGTAAGTGAGGTTATAGTGACTTAGAGCTTGTAGATGTACACAATTTCACTAAGGTTAGGCTTAAAATTCTTTAAATCATCTATCTGCTCATAGGTAGGCAACAAACACATAAAAACAATAATGTTGGCCATAATTTATCTTTTTGGACTAGAGGTAAGTAGTGATTGTACCTGAGAAATGTTCACTTATTTTTCTTTGAGACAATGAATCTACACACCAATCTATAAAAGATAGTATGATGTGGGATCTAACAATACTGGGTTTCAATCTCACCTTTGATGCACATTGACTGTGGGACATTGGGTAAGTCAGTTAATATCTTAATTAGGACTCTAGGCATCCAAAGCTAAAAATTCTAGTGAAGGTACATCCTTATAGTGGTAGAGGACATTTTCCCATCTAGGAATCCATATACCAATTAGATCACAAATCTAGGATAGATATAGATAGATAGATAGATAGATAGATAGATAGATAGATAGATAGACAGACAGATCGCTAGCTAGATATAGGCAGCTAGGTGGCACAGTGGATTGATCCCTGAGTCAGGAGTCAGGAAGATTTAAGTTTGGATCTGACCCCATCTACTTACTATATGTGTGAATTTGAGTAAGTCACTTAGCCTCTGTCTTCCTCAGTTTCCTCAACAAAGTAATAGTGATCATAATAGCATCTCCCTTATAGAGTTTGTTAATTCTGCCCTCAGAGGTTATACATCAACTGTCGACTCTGAAAAATAATATAAAATAAACCAAAGAGCCACAGAGGTTATTACACCAATTGTCAACTCTGACCAAAGAGCCACAGAGATTATAGTAAAAGCCTTATATCCACTGTCAACCCTGAAAAAATAAAATAAAATACCAAAAGAGCTCACAGGTTGTAGGCAAAAAGCCTTCTTTATTCCATAGAAGGAGGGAAACTAGACACATATGCTGGGGTCTCCTCTAAGACCAAGGAGACCCAAAGGCAGTGAGGCTAAGCTTTGAGATACACACACACACACATATATGTATATACACACACACATATATACATATATGTATACACACACACATATATACATATATATGTATATACACACACACATATATACATAGGTGTATATATATATACACATATATGTGTAGATAGATAGATATAGATATAGATATATAGATAGACATAGATATCATAGATATCATAGATATTGATATAACTGTGGCTTCACAAGGAACTAAGCAATGAGTTGTAACCGCAGCAGTGAGGTGTGTAACAGCAACAATGAGGCAAGTGTGCGTCGTGACCAAAAACAATTCTCTTCGTAGAAGAGCTTTGTGACCAGAACATGGTTCACGTAGGTGCTTGTCCAAGCTCAGAGACCACCGGGGGTTGGTTTGAGCAAATGCTGTACTTTAGCTGTAGCAGAGTTCATCCAGAGGGTGAGCACAAAGTACGGTTGTTATGCCCAGCTCAGGGCATGTCTTGCTTGCTGGGCCATAGCTAAGGCAAACAAAGTATCTCCTAATAATAAAAAAGGAGAGGAATGAAAAGAGAGGGAGTCCTGACAGGTTGTTACGATGCTCAAGTGAAATGACATTTATGAAACATTTAGCAAAGTGCTTGGCATCTAGTAGGTGCTAAACCAATCCTTATCCCCTTCCTTTTCCCTCTTATAAAACATTTATTAAGGATTTATTATATTTCAGGCACTGTCCAGATTCAAAAACAAGAAAACAAGATAATTTCTACTCTCAAAGGTCTTGTACTCTAAGGAGGGAAGACAATAAAGGAAAAGTAGAAATTGGGGGGGGGGGCTGGTATCTAGGGCATTGGGGAAGCTAGGAGGCACAGTGTATAGAGTGTTGGGCCTAGAATCAGGAAGACTCATCTTCCTGAGTTCAAATCTGACCTCAGACACTTTCTAGCTGTGTGACCCTGCCCAGGTCACTGAACTCTGTTTGTCTCAGTTCCTCATCTGTAAAATGAGCTGGAGAAGGAAATAGCAAACCACCCAATATCTTTGTCAAGAAAACCCAAAATGGGGTCACAAAGAGTCAGACACAAATGAAAAATGACTCAACAATAATATCTAATGCATAGATCGCGTAGACCAGAAAATGAACTGGGAAGAAAGTGGGCAGCATGGCTCAGACTTTTAATGATTTGGCAGTTCTAGCAAATACTCACCAAAATGCAAGTAAGCCCTGGTGGTAAAGTCATATTCCAGAGAACAAGGCAGCTCGTGTGTTCACCTACTCCCCAGAATGAGTGACGTATGTTGCCTTTTGGAATAGATGGAAACGCAGAAATCAATTTTATTTCCCTTTTAGTGGATGATGTTGTGGAGGGAGAGGATGGTATAATCTAGTCTGTAGACCAGACTCTCAACTTTGCTGTGTGTTTGTATGTGGGGGGGGTGTAGGTGTGTGGGTGTGGGTGTGTTTCAGCAAACATAAGGATCTCTGCTACAGTTCTCCTCCAAGGTCTTCTCATGGCATGAAGGCGAGTCTGTGCTCTTGAAAGCAATGCCAAAAGCCTAGTCTCTGGTAGGTTGACTAAGATGGAAATGCTTTGATTACATGCCCAGCAATGAACTGTATATCTGTTGGCCAAGGACCAGTCTGGTTAAGTTCAGAGCATCTCATTCTAAGAATTATGGATACTAGCTAATGATAATGATAATGATGATAATAATAATAATAATGATAATTATTATTATTATTATTGTTATTATTATTATTATGCCACAGGACCTCACATGGGATAGCTTGCTACAGTGGGGGAGTTGTTTCTATAACCATGGCTCTTTCAAAACTTTAAAAAATATTGGGCAGCTAGGTGATGCAGTGGATAGAGCACTGGCCCTGAAGTCAGGAGGGCCTGAGTTCAAATCTGGCCTTAGTCCAAACACTTGACACGTATTAGCTGTGTGACCATGGGCAGGTCATTTAATCCCGATTGCCTCACAAAACAAACAAACAAACAACCCCCCCCAAAAAAAAAACCTTTAAAAAAGAAACTATAATGAATTCTGGATAATTCATTCCCAAAAGCTTTTTACTGAGGGCTTGTTATGTTCCCAGCTTTCTATGAAGGTGCTCTGACAGAAGAAAAGTTCATTTTAAAATACTAGAAAGTCATCTCTTCCCTCAAATACCTACAATGTAGTATAGAGTATTAGACAAGTATCTGCGAGAGAAGATATGTGCTGTATGCTACATGAGAAGTACCATGTTTAATATTTTATTGTAAAGGCCTCCCCCAACTCTTAGTCTCTTCCCATCTATTCCAATCCTTGTTTACAAACAGAATCATAGAGTATCAGAGTATGAAGGGGCCACAGAGGCCATCTAATGAGACTCATCTGTGAACCAGAATTCTTTCAACCACTTAACTGGCCAGTAGTCATTTGCCTCAGAACTCAAATGAAAGTGGACATACTTCCTCCTGACATGGCCAATTTGTCTTTGGGTAAGCTCTAATTTTCAGAAATATTTTCCTCCAATTAAACTTAAAGCAACATCTCAGTAACATCTACCCATTACTCCTAGCTCTGCCTTCTGCTTCTGAGTAGAACAAGCCTTAATCCCTCTTATATATGATATCACTTCACCTACTTGAAGAAAACAGACACATGCACCTTCTCTTCTCTCTGTGTGAGCTGTCCACCAACACATATTTAATACCCACACTGCTTCAACCAAGGACATATTTCATGACGTGGAGTTCACCTATCCTACGGAGTTCAGTTATCCTACTTGGGATGCTGTCCAACCTATCAATGCATTTTCTAAAATACCATGTTGCAATTGTCATCTCATGGGTCTAGAATACATTGGAGATCACAGCTGCCCTGGTCCTGAGAATTTTACTTGTCTCAATGAAGCTTAAAATTGCCTTAGTTTTCTTGGCTGCCATACAACACTGTTGCTCATTGAATTTGTTGTTCAGTCATTCAGTTGTGTCTGACTCTTTGTGAACCAAGGACCACAGTGCCCATGGGGTTTTCTTGGCAAAGATACTGAAGTGATTGGTCATTTCCTTCTCCAGTGGATTAATGCAAACAAAGTGACTTGCCCAGGATCACACAGTGAGTGTCTGAGGCTAGATTTGAACTCAGGTCTTCCTAACTCCAGGCCCAGTGCTCTATCCACTTAGCCATCTAGCTGACTTCATTATAGAATTTACAATCCAGACTGTAAATTTCAGTTTATTCCATACTACTCCAGCCCCTAACAACTTTTTTAGACGAACTGCTGCCTAGCCACAAGTCCTCCATCATGGAATTATAAAATTTTATTTTTAACACAAATCTAAGACTTTGCATTTAACCCTATGAAATGAAATAATGAATGAAAAAATATTCAACACAATGTGCTAAGCACTGTGTAAGATACTGGGGATATAAATACAAAACAGAAAAAGAATAATGCGTTAAATCTCAGCATTTTAGATTTATTCCATGTTATGCTGTTAAGATCTTTCTGGATACTGACTTTGTTATCTAGTGTTTTATTTATCTCCCCCAGCCTTGTGTCAGATGCAAATTTGAGAAGAATCCTATATATGTGTTTTTTAAATTTAATTATATAACTGTTAAATAGCTCAGAGAAAGAGAAAAAAACATTCCTGGAGCATTCCCCTGGAGAATGGCTTTGAAGCTGAGATCGATTAATTCATGATTACTCTTTGAGCACCACCATGCAAACAGTTCCATATCCACCTAACTCTACCTCCCTCTAAGATTACCTTCCCTTTGCACCGTTTATCACTTTTATGGCCTTAGTTCTTTGCTTATTTTCTCCCTTATTAGAATGTGAGCTCTTGGAGGGCAGGGGTTATCTTTGTCTTTATATCCCTAGCACTGAGCACAGTGCTTAGTAAGAGTTTGCTGGCTGATTGACTATTATCACTGAATCCACATCTTTTCCTTTAGTCTCCAGAAACAGTAAGTGAGGTTTTATGAGATTCATTGCTAAAATCTAGGTAAACTCAACTTGACCATTCCCATTATCTAT